CCCACTGTCCCAGTACTGTACAGCTTTGCATTCCTGTAGAACCACTGGCTGGCCCAGGACTCCCCTTTATGCCAAGACCTTGCTCATGTGCCTTGAACAACCCAGGGTCCCAGAAACTGAGTTCCTGGGTGGGCCTCAGAGGAAGCCAGGCAGCCCCGGCTGCAACTGGCCTATAGCTCTGCTCTGCTCCTGAGGGGCCACCAGCAGCGAGGCCACGTGGACTCTTACTCTCAGTTGCAGGCGACATTAGTAGTTGCCATGTCGCCTACACAAACCTAGTGCGGTCGGGGCCCAGCACGGGCTGACCGGGCCGCAACAGCCATCTTGCCTTTTGGTCGAGGGCGTGCTGAGCAGTGACTCCCATTGGGCTCTACAGGCCTGTGTGCCGAGGAGGCGCCTGGTCCTGAGCCTCGCCCGGCGGGCGCCATCTCCATGAGAACCGGCGTGGGTGCAGGTGTGCACGAGTCCTCGTGCAGCGCAGCCCGGCGTGAAGTGCACCCAGGCTGCTGGGGGAAGGGAAGTACTTGTGCCCAGAAGGGCCTCCCCGGGCCTCGTCATCTAGCATCATAGTCGGTCAGGACTGCAAGGCCATTTTGATAGGGCCAGGCTTTTGCTTTGTGAACTGACTTCTGGAGCCCGCCCAGTCCGGGATGTGCTGTGCAGAGGCCACGGGGCTGTCTAACTGCTCCAGCCTGTGGCCCGAGTCCGAAGGCCAGCACCTTTTCAGACCCCAGGCTGCAAGGGTGTTGTGTGTTCAGAGCAGGCCTTGCCTGGCTGTGGGCTGTGGCGGGAGGCTCTGGGCCGCTCCTGGGAACCGCCTGGGTGGGCCTGCAGCCTGCAGGCAGGAGGGGCCCCTGAGTGGCCCTGTCTTTCCACAGGACGTGTTCGAGATGAGGTTTGCTAAGATGCCCGACGAGCCTGTGGAGGCGCCCGCACTGCCCGCCCCCGCAGCCCCCATGGTGAGCAAGGGCGCCGAGAGCAGCCGCAGCAGCGAGGAGAGCTCGTCGGACTCTGGCAGCTCGGACTCGGAAGAGGAGCGGGCCACGCGGCTGGCCGAGCTGCAGGAGCAGGTGTGCTGAGCAAGGCGCTGTACGGGGCCGTGGCCTCTGCCCAGCCTCGGGCCGTCTCCTGCAAGCCTCGTGTCCGTCGGTGGCCATGGCGGCCCTTCACTGTGGTGTCCTTGGAAGGCGCTTCCTGGCGAAGCTCTGGGCACCCTCCGCAGGCCTGACCCACTGGCACACACGGGTGACCGTGTGGACCCACCTGGCTGGGCCCTGCCTGTAAAGGTCTGAAAGGCACTCGGGGCTGCCCCTTGGGGGG